TGGGGAGAGGCCAAGTACAGAGTAGGAGAAGAGTCAATTCCCTTCTCCCCCACGAGGGGGCATTTCTATGCCAGCAAGTGCAGGGTCCCAAGAGAAGAGTGGGACCCACCAGCTGTGGGGATAGAGCTTCTCCCTTGCTTTGGGGCACAGCAGATGCTGACTGACAGCACAGGGCATGACCGCAAGGCTTGCAGTCACTTGAGCCCAACAGTCATGGGTGGACTGCCCAACTTCCTTAAGTTACAAAAGAGAGGAAGGCCGAGAACTGTGCAGGCACAGGGCTTGTCAGTAACCTCCAGGGTCAGCCACGCCAATGCCTGGCACAGACGCAGGATTTGTCATTCTGAAACCACCCCAGCCCAGCTCCTTCTGGGAAATCTCCCATGATGCAGACTCCACTACTTCCCTGGGCAGCTTGTTCTATTGATCTGCTGTCATGGTCAAGAAGTTCTCCTGAGGCATAATCTAAGTTTTTTTTGCTACATGCCCTGCACTGGAGGGGTGAGATAGAACAACTGTTCTCCCTCTGCCTTGTAGCAGCCTTCCCAGGATCTGGACAGAAATGTGGGAGTTTGATCCTACCGAATTCACAGAGGAGACCAAAGTACCCGGGCGGACACTGGCAGATAGTGAAGTTTCCATCCAGACACCTTCCCCCATTCCGACACTCACAGTCTTCGGAAAGCTCTGTAACAGAGGGCAGTGACAGGGAGACTGTCAGGACAGCCAACATCCTGTTCCAGCTCCTAAGATTTTCATAAGGTCATCCACCACCACTGAGTCCCACAGGATGCAAACAAATCCTGCTTGGAGTCGCATGGATTCAGTGCAGCCACAAGTGTCTCCTGTCAGCACCTCCCCATTAGAACACAATTCTAACTGACACCAGATGATGGCAGCTTCTGAGCCACCTTCCTCTCCAACTGGAGAAATGAGCCACTGTTTATCCAGTGGTGCCCTGAATATGATGCATTGGCTCTCAGCAGGAATGGCCACATGATGAGATTACCCTCAACAATTTGATCTGCATCTGGGGAAGGCCCTATCTCCACTACTTACTGTCTCTGCAGTCGGGACCTGTGTAGCCCTCTGGGCATTCACAGATGTAGCCTTGCTCTGTTTCCAGGCAGTTCCCCTTATTCTGGCATGGATTGGAGAGACAAGCACTTGCCACTTTAGGCCCACCTGTGAAGAGTGGTCATTAGTAGAGGCATGGAGGGAGAGAAAGTCACCTCAGCTAAGGAGGGGCCACCATCCCCACACCAGTGTAACTAGTGACATCAGTGGCTCACCCCAGGGAGACCTGACTGGAGGGTTGCTAAAGAGCTGGGCAGATATCATGGGGAATATCCCACTCACTCCTTTGAAGTTAATGTGGTTTGACCCCCTGCACAAGTGCTCTAACATGATCCCTTCAGCAGAAGGCTGCACTGAACTCTCCTATTTCTCACTGGCCCCTGCCTCAGGGCTCACCTGCCTGCTTGCTCTGCTCCTACCATGGTTCAGGGCAAGTTTTACTAAACATCCTGTGGATCTGCCATTCGTTCTCCATAGCCCAGGCTCTCCACTTTGGCCAAATTGAACTCAGGGCAATGCCCAGTTCTTGGAGCCAGGAGTTGGTGTGACAGAGAGAGACTAGACCAAATGCCCTGCAGCTTCAAGGCAACCTCAGCACAGGGCAAATCTGAAGGGAGCGTCCAGCTGGAACAGCATGGAGTCAAGTCCTACATCTCAGGTACATCAGAGTGACTCTCCTGTGTCCACCCATGGCCTGTCCTGCTTACCGTACTGGCAGTTGCTGCCATAGTAGCCTGGGGAGCAAGTGCAGATGTAGCGTCCAGGGCGGATATAGTTACATGTCTGGCGGTTCCGGCAGCTCCGGTCCTCACAGGAGGAGGGGTCTGGAGGGTAGAGAAGCAGTCTCAACACAGCCCAGCTAAATTCAAGGAATAGGCCACTGGGAAGGCAGGATGGGGCCTTGGCAGTGATCCTGAGAGCAGGGAAGGAGGGAGGCACAGACAGCCAGGGCCCAGCAAAGGCTCTGCCACAGACTAACCCCCCTAAGGACCCTGGCCATAGGCAGGGGAGACTCCACTGCATGCAGAGAGAAGCAGGGCACCTGTCTCACAGCGCTGTCCCACGAAGGGCTCAACACACACGCAGGAGTAGTTGTCCACCAGGTCAATGCACCGACCCCCGTTCAGGCAGGGGTTGGAATCACACTCGTTCACTTCTGGAGAGGAGAACAGCTAGGATGATCAGGTCTCACTGTCAGGCCAGCCTCTAGACCCAGCCTACATGTGCCCAGATCAACAGATGTGGCTGAGGGCCTCGCTTGTTATCTCCGTACCTGGAGACCTGAACTGGCCCTTACCACCCAATATCAGCCCTGCCCAGGTTATGGATCTCCTGGCATTAGATCTCTCCTCCAGCTCCTGTTATTTGTACCCTGGTAGCTCTGGGAGCCTGGTCTTGGAGCACCTGCTATGTCAAGTGCTGTACAGAGAACAAGGGAGTGGTCCCTCTAAATAGAAAACAAGAGAAAACAGGCGGCTGCAAGCAGTGAGCAGCAGTTCCAGGGAAGAAAAAGGCAGCACGGTAGGCACTGGTATCACCGCCCCCTGCAGCTACCCACCATCATGTTTGGCTGGTAAGTCACCTGACAGGGTATGGCCTTCTGGTCTGCTTGCTGCTCACTGCATCCTCTGTTTGCAGTTATCCAGAACTAAACCCTCCCTGTCTACATCACCTCTAGCATATGGCTTGTTCTTATTCTCATGCTTGTGTCTCACATCTCTCTCCCCAAGCTTTCCCTCTTCAGCCCCAAGGCAGGCCCACCAAGTAGCAGTTTCCCATCTCTCTGACCCTCAGGGTCTTCACTTGCCTTCAGAACACTGCCAATGGCTTTGGGATGCCAGATCAACCAGCCATAGCATGGTACAGAACCCTGCCTTCACTAAACCACAGGACTGGCCACCCAGAACAGCCTCGCCCCTGCACTGCTCCACACCTGCTGCAAAGGCATCTCAGCACTTTGCAGAACGCAGCACATCAGCCAAGGAATTTGCCCCTCACTGGCAGCCACCCCCACACACATTCCACCCTTTGGCTTCTTACCTGCCTCACAGTCCTCCCCTGTGTATCCTGGCTGGCACACACATGCAGCTGTCCCATTCACTGCCTGGCACTCCCCACCGTTCTGGCAGGCCTTGGCTTCACACGGCGACTCCTCTGCAAGGTTCCACGTACGTGAAGTGAGGGATTAGGTACAGCCGTGGGAACCACAGAACTTGCAGCTCTCCCACCAGCATGGAGCCCACATGCCCGGCCAAGCCCCCTTGCATCCTCCTCCCCTCTCTCTGCAAGTTCTTGGCAGGGAGAAAGTCAGGCCAGCAGTTCTGTGCTTTGCTGGAAAGGGGCCTGGCCCAGTGGTGTTCCCCCTCCCCTTCAAGTCCTACTGAGGAAGACGGGCATGGGGAGAGCTGGTCAACCTCAGTGGGAAGACAGCTCTCCTATGCCACAACTTGCTGGACTTTGTTTTTAATGCAGAACCTGGCTATACCATTAACCAGCCCTGGGATCCATGCACCTTTACCACCAGCAGGGAGCATAGCTGGGTCCCCAGCACCGGAATTTTAATTCTTTTTAGTAAACACATCCCTGGAGAACTTACTGCTGCAGTGGGGCCCAGCAGTATCAAAGGGGGAGGCATTACTGAGAGAGGTGGGCCCCAGAGCACATGATAGACTCACCTGACATGCAGTGGGTAAGGTTTTGGACCATGGTACCTGCAACTATGGCTCATCCTGTTCAGCTAGTCACCCTCACTGGGCACCACCCTGCACAGCCTAGCCTGTGCTGCCACAGCCCACTACTGAACGATGCATGTGTTTACTTGGCTGGGTTGCAACTTGCCACCCTTGGCTGGACACAGTGCCTATTCCCGCCAGCATACCCCAGGTGAAGCAAAGGACCTACTGTTGGCACTTCAGCTCTAGAGAGTCTAGGTATGTCCTCCCTAGCTACTAGGCTCCTTCCAAAATCCACACGCACTCTGCTTCAATGATCCGTCTTCCTAGCTTTCCTCCAATTTGAGACTAAGTGCCGGCAGCTGGTCATTTAACTTCTTCAGTTGCAGGGCAAGCGTCAGTGACTCTCTGTAGATGCACCAGGCTACCCCACCACCTGACTGTCACTCCAGAGATGTCTCTCAAGCCCCTTGGCAGCAGGTCCCATTTGCCCGAGTTTGGTGGGAGGTAGACCTGGGCAGAGGGGATCACACACTGTGCCTCCAAGTTATTAATGTTCTTAACTAGCTGTGAGGACCAGTGTCTTGAACCAGCACTTTGACTCAGGGTACCTGTGTCACATGCTCTGGAAGGGAGGTGGATTGATATTGGCAAAGGTTAAGCCAGAAGGCCAAGACTGACAAGCCAGTACATGAACGGAAGTGTAGCCAGGCAGCAAAGGGAGGTGCTGGGGAATGCGTTGGGCTTCACTGCCACAGATATCACCAGCAGCTGAAAGCACAGTGCTTTCCTTCCTAGAGTCTTTCTGACACAGGCTTGTTGTATCCTAGGATGAAAACAGATGAGCCAATGCAGTGGCTAACAGAGTTCAATCACATTGGATCTCTTGAGTGCATTTTAACAACTCCTGCAGAGACAGGACACTGGCTGTCCTCATCCCCCTGTGGCAGGTTGAGTACTTTTGGTGTCCCTGGGCAATATGCCTTTTCATTGTGTGACAGGGTTGATTTGTGTAGCTTTCATACTAGGTTAAACAAGTATTTGTATGGGATGGTTTGGACAGGACTAATCCTGCCTAGAGTAGGTGCTTGGACTAGATTGACCTCCAAAAGTCCCTTCAACCCTACTTTTAAGTGAATAGATACAATCACAGAAAAGTTTCAAAGAACTAGTACACACATAAGGTAAAGTTTTGTCCCAATTACACCACAAATCCAAGACGAAGCTGTGCCAGTAAGACCCAGGCCACAGAAAAAGGTGATCAGACTTGCTTCACCCCATATGCATCCCAAAAGAACAAGTTTCCAAAGTAGGACTAAGCTAATTCAGAACGAGGCACCTTATTCCAGAGTTTGTGTCCACACTTGGAGTGTTTCAGGAACTCCTATTCTGAAATAGCTCAGGGATTGACAAGCCCCACGTAAAGAATGCCACCATCAGAGCAAAGACTGCACGAGAAGAGCAGGGCCAAGACAGGGCCTTTGGTAAGCCCTAAGGACACTAAGCAAACCCTAAATATGTTTTTGCTCACAGGCCTATCACTGTCTCACAGCTTGTCCTCTATTATCAGCAAAGTGTGTGTGACTGTGAAGCTCCTCTGCCCAGTCTGTGCATCACTTGCTCTACCTGTCACATAACTATTACTGCAAGCTGTCACATCACTTGCTTTAACTGTCTCAGCTAAACTGTCAACCAGGACTCACACATAACTTTGGCTCTGCAGAGGATGTGCTTAAGCTGCTGGGGAGACTCTGAGGGTCAGCACTGGCCTTGGGCCTTGGCAGCTGAACCATGAGGCAGGACCAAGAAACAGCTATGAGGCAGGGATGCTGTATCCTGGGAATAAACCAGAAAGGCTGGACTTCAAGACAGCGCCTAGATGCTCCTTAACTGAGTACCTCTGGGAATACGCAGGATCTGAAGGCTGGTATCTGGTCACAAAGAGGAACTTAGTCAGGGAAGTACCTGAAGGGACGCCAGTTGCTATGCCAAGGGCCAGGCAGATGGCTGGAGACATGGACATAGGCATGTCCAGATTTGAACAGCCTGGAGTCAAAGCTTATGTTCTTTGTTTTAAGATTGCTGAGCTAAGCTAACAGATGTCCTAGGCAGATATAGTTGCAAGGGGCTTGCACTTGCTAATAGAGAAGATGGGCAATTGTTTAGTGGCTTAGTTTTCCATTTCCCCACTTGTATTTATTGGTACCGATGTCCTTGCCACGTGAGCTACCATGACCAACACTGAGGTATGTTGGTGAGACTTCAGAACAAAGGATGAGGAAGTGGGGACAGATCCTGCAGGTCCTGAAAAAGTCTGGTCCTTTTTTTAAGCACCTAGTTGGGAGCTGAGCTCTTCTGAAAATATATTTCCTACTATGGGTGCCAAGCATTTGGAAATCTGCACTTCAAATGTTTAAAATAAGGCCCGTGAGATTGCTCTCATGTCCAAATGAGCAAAGAGCTGCTATTTGACATGGCGGATGCTTTATCTTCCTGATGAAGTTGCTATTTGGATTAAACACTGACACTGAGGACCTAACCCAGACAGTTAGGAAGTCATTAAGAAGGCTCACGTTGACTTCTGGCTCAGACCTTTATCAGTGAAATCCTTGCAGAGAGCAAGGCTGCTTGTTTTCTGCTTACATGACAACCACCACCAGCTTGTTTCAATACAGAAAACCCAGTGACGTGAAGACGGTTTCACACTGAACCACTGAAATGCACTACACTAACACCCAGCCTGCTTAGAAATGGGCCACTGGTGTCACCCAGAGCCAGAGGCAAAAGTTTCATTTGGTTTCAAACAAGTCAAAATCCAAGATGCCTGGAACTGTCTGCAGAAAACCCAGAACTGCTTCCACACACTAGCATGCAGGGTGGGGGTTGTTTCTTTATCCCAGTCACAGCTACAGGTCCCCTGGAAGCTGCTGCCTAAACCTTAACAACTGATAGTCACTGCAGAGTGCTACAGAGGCTGTGACATAGAAGTCAGTACCAGTATGCTGTGTGGCACCCCACTGATTGCAGAATCAGTGTTAACTTGAGAGCAAAGTGTTTGGCCCTGTATATTTAGGTCAGGGTTTTCAAAGGTGCCAATGATATCTGGACCCTCCCAGTCTGCTCTCTCAGGTGGGCACTACTATTCCCTTTCTGCAGAGGGAAAAATTCTCCCCCCCGAAGCTGGAAGTGGACACTGACAGCAAACTATCCCACTTATTCATGCTATGATTAGTGCCTTACTCGGCTCTTCCCATCAACTTCAACAAGGCTCCTCACAAAGGAGGCACTATACTGTAGAGCAAGGCTGGCTGTGTGTACACTAGGTGACTTTGCCAAGGCTACAGAGGGAATAGGGATTGGGATTGGGATTAAGACCTTGAAAACCTATCACTTGGTCCCATTATCCTGCCTCTTAAATGTTCCCACAGGCCTCTAATGCAGCCTTTGCACAGTTCTTTCATGAGTTTGTACTGCATCAGGTTATAGTCAGAGGACTCTACATGTTGCCACATTATTATGGGTTCACAGGCCTGTGCAGCCAATGGAAGTTCTGCTACTCACCTGTGGGGCTGCTGAATCAGAGTCTGCATGGAGGAAGAAAGCCAGCCTCTAGCACCCTTTTGAGGTGGCATGGATACCACAGAGATTCCCTTTGCCCCAATCCCCATGTGGGGCAGAATCAAGGATGCTGTCCCCCTGTGCACTAAGCTAGTCTTGCAACCCAGCAGGACTGCACTTAAGTCCTTTGCCAAAGTTATTTTGGACCCAGCACTACTCACCATTCTCACACGTAGTGCCTTTGAACCCTGGTGGACACTGACAGCTGAAGCTGTTGACACCATTAATGCAGGTGGCTCCATTCTGACATGGGTGGGAAAGGCACTCATCTACATCTGCAACACAACAACATGGAGGCTCAGGGAGAAAGGTGCTGACTGCTCTGCCTGTTCTCCTTTGGGGAGGGTGGGGGAAGAAACACCAGCAGAGAAGCATGGAACACAGTGCCCTGCATGTGCTCTCCATGGCCAGGGAAGTGGCTGATGTCAGCTCGCTAGTGGAATGGTGCCTGGTGTGGGACAGGCAGAGACCACATGTGGACTCTGCCTTGTGGCTCACCCTGTCTGCCCCTTTTTCCCCACACGCATCAACAGTTGGTTACAGATGCTGTTGGGGTGGGAGTGACATCACCTCACTCTCCTGTTCTCTCCTGTGCCTGTAACCAGCTGGCTCATAAGCAGCAGTCAGTCACAGGCAGTATTTATATCTGAGCTGTACTTATCTGGCCCACATGGGTGGGACATCCAAGCACGCCACAGTCTAAGAGTTTTATCCCCCTCCTCCTTCCTATGAGGGAGGGAAATGCTCTCACCCCTATTTTACTGCGATCCAGTGAGATCGACTCATCTAAGCTCATACAAAGAGTCTGTGGCAGAGTAGAAGACATGAGTTCAGCTCATTCTGGTCTAACCAGGGGCCTGTCCACCTTGTGGAACTGAAGCTGTTTCACTGGCTACATATTCCAGGGTCTCCTGGGTTGGGAATGAAGGTCGAACAGTTTTCTTCTCTGGGGCAGGAGAGAGGCAGCAAGGCACAATGGCCACAAAGGCCAGGAGATTGTTAATGGCTGTCCAATCCAAGCTCGGGAAAGAGAAGGAGTATACAAGCACTGCGGAGGGCATCCTGGAGTGCACTTACCAAGGTGGCATCTTTTTCCAGTGAAGCCTGCCAGGCACGAGCAGGTGTAAGAGGGGTTCCCTGTGATGCAATCCTCAATGCATTTCCCCCCATTCAGACACGGCCGTAACGTCAGGCACACAGAGGCTGCAAAAACAAGTGGCCACACGTATTATTAGGAGACCCAGCAGCAGGCTCCCACAGCACAGCCCAGCACAGCAGTAAGAACATTGGGCTAAAAGGTCCCTTTGGCCTTCAACCCCATCTGGTCCACACAGATGCCACCGCCTTGTCAAGGCTTCCCTTTAGACTGTTGCTGGGCATTTGTTTGCCAACATGTTCCATGGAGGATACTTCTGCAGCACTCACTGCCACTTGCTGTCAACAAGTGATAACCTGAATGTCTTACAATTATCTTGCCACTCATTGTGCAGGTGACAAACTAAGAACAAGGGAGGCTTGGGGCTTGTCCTTATGGGAAATCATCCCACTATGAAGGCAGCCTGTGGAATAAAAGTGCTGTAGTTATACCAGTAAAGATTTCCAAGTGGATGTTCATACTCTTATTCCAGGATAAAGATAGCCTTCTCCCAGCTTATATTAGGATGCTTTGGAAGCAGTATATCTTTTCACATTGGGAGCCCAGCATCACAGAGAGAATCCATGGTGTAGCAGGGAACTAAATTTTGGTCCCCTGAAGCCCAATCAATCTTGTAACCACTACACCACATCCCTCCATTATGTCCATATGTCTCCCTTTCTCCACATTGCTCATTACATCAATCCTGACTCGATTCCTCATTTACCATTATTTTTTCTCCCCCTCCTCTTTTATTTCTCTGGTTCAAAAGACAATAAACCCAAATTTCAACACTGGCCACCTAAGAGAAAGACTCATGATTACAGCACACACAGTAGTCAGGAACATATGTCTCCAGACACAAGACATTATTTGCCTCCCACTTATCCAGCACATTCATAATGGTGCACCTCAGCCCAGGCACCACAAGGCCTTTTCCTCTCCCATGGAGGCAGGAACAATGGGCCAAATTCAGCCCAGACAGAAGCAGGCATGACTCCACTGGTTTTTCTGGAGTCCTGCATCAGGGGGTTGAATTTGACCCTACAACTTTAGTCCTTTTCTCATTAACACCCCCCCCCCCAAAAAAAAGAAGAAAAACCCAAACAAACAAACAAAACAAACAATCACATTCCACATTTGCTTATATGAGGATGTTTCAGAAACTAGTGGCAATTTTGATATAAAACCATTTCATGGGCAGTGATGATCATTTACTGGGCCACATCACTTCTCCACAGTTGCAAAAGATGGGGCATTCAACATCAGTGTTCCCTGTTTCTATGCAGTTTTCCACTTTCTCACAGACATACAGCATGGGCAACTGTTTTGCTGCTGGTTTCTGAAACACTCTTGTGAATTCCCAGAACAGAGCCTCATCTTTCTTGCTCAAAGCAGAGCAGCAGAGAACACCCCTCCCACCATCAAATGTGGTGAAAAACACAGGGTACAGCCAAGCAAACAAACCACAGTGAGTTCACAAGGGAAGGGGGGCTCCCCATATGGCAGCTGCTCTGTGGTTACTTAGACTTGAGTGAGAGAAGGGTTTTGTGGCTTATCTTCTGCTTGACGCAGGATAAGAGCACACACATGACCAGTCACCAGGGATCAGCTGGCAGGCAATGAGTCCCCACCTCCTCTTCACCCTCTGCAATACATTACATTGTCTTGGGCTGCCATGGCTGAAGGTATGGACACCTCCCACTAAACTCACCAAAGGGTGCATAGCCTGAATTTGGCTTAGCACCTTAGGTTTCAGGTCTTGGGAGCCGGCATCTTGTACAGGACCCATCTTGATTTGGTTTGATTCAATGGCAAGGTAGCCAGTACCCCACTGGCCACATGTATTTCACTGAAGGCTTCAAGACTTTTTCCCCTCTTCCCTTGCCACCAACAATGCCCCTAGCTTTCCCCTCCTCCACCTGCTCAGCCCCACTTCAGACCTGCTCTCTTCCCTCTTTTCATGGGCCCTGGAATTACACAGGGAAAGACAAAATAACCCAGAGAAAGGATGGAAGAATTGGTTTGTTTAAATAAACCTAACTGCTGTCCTCTTACTTGTGTTGTTGCAGCCCCCCACTTGCACCTGGGCATCATCGATTCTGAACACCCAGCGCCCGGGGATACCCACATTTGTCGTCATCTCCACGTCAACGATGTCATCAGTGCGAGATCCGGGGATGTTGAAGTAGCGCTTTCCATCACCAGCGTTGAAACCTGCCTAGGAAGACAAGAACAGACAGTGAGAATTCTTGCAGGCAGTCACAGATGCTTCACTTCCACCATAGTGCAGCACCTGAGGACAAACCCAACAAGGACACGAAAGAAGGAAGAGGCTGGCTGGTTTCTTTGACTGTTGCTTCTTTTGCTAGTTCAAGCACCTTGCCATTGCCTTATGCTCCTTGGCAATGGGCACATACATTACAGTGCCCACTGCAGCAACGCCTGAGGGGTTGTGAGGTCTGCTGCATAGGGACTGGGAGTCAGGAGCCCAGAGTTTCAGTTTCAGCTCTACCACCCGCCTCCAGTGTCACATCACTTCTGGCTATGTCTGGGTGGTGGGGGGGTGTTGTATGCAGTTGTACATGTGTTAGCTAGCAAGGAAGGAGGACAGCCAGCAGGGGTACCAACAGCGAGGAAGACATAGCAGGCTACACAAGCTCACCCAGTGCACTGCATACTTACTCAGCCCTTTAGATAACAACTAGCTCCAGGTATGCTGCAGTTGCACATGCAAATGTGGAGTAGATGCAGCCTCTACTCCCCCTCCCACCTTTCATCTTCTTTACTAGGGTTTTATGCACAGGAAAGCATGTCAGGAGGGGCCAGGTCCCATTTAAGGCCTAAGGGTGAGTCTGTTCCACTCTGCTTAAGTCCCTGAAAAACCATTATTATGCCTACTATGGTAACCCCCTGTCATCATAGCCTTAGGGCTAAGTCATGATATGCAAGGAAGAGGAGGAGGATGGTCCACTCATCCTTTGCATTAATGTTTTTTTTCAGGGACTTGAGCAGGGTGGAATGGGATTGTGCTTAGACATCTAAGTGGACTTACACACCTAGCAGGTGTAGCAGGACCTTAGCTTAGGGATCTGTACATCACCTGGTGCAGCACCTTTGGCAGGGCCTTCTGAGTGCCAGGAAGGCAGCCAATAACTTTAGAGGAGCCTGCTTTCCCTGCTGCTAGGAAGCCCTGCATGGTTGTATACAGAATGGGTGGGACTAAAGAGCTGGGGGAGACTTGGGGCAGCCCACCACAATGCTTCTCCTGGACAGCTCAACATAGCCAGAGCAAATGGGAGTGCTTTGCGCCTCAGCAGTCTTTGCACATTGATGACTCATCCCTTGGAAACAGCATGCAACGTCCATTCTATTTTCATTCGCCTCTGCACCTGGGATTCTGCATGGAGCATATGCACAGGGTGAGTCCAGACAAGTTTTGGACATGCTTCATGGAAAGAAGTCAGGGAGAACAGCACTGCTAGCTTAGGCCAAGTAGGCTCCTCTGCCATGCAAGGCCAGACGCTTTTGCACAGAGCCATGTGGCTTTGTCTCACGCTGAATGGCTGCTGCACATTCTTGCAAACTCAATAACAAATTGACACTGGGCGAGATTTTTCAGACTTCCCCTTCTCTTTGGCTGGTGTTAGGGTGGGGCGTTCCTGGAGCCCTGTCGGCCTTCCAAGGCATGCGGTTACTGCTCTGTTTACATACATAAAATCTGCACTTTTGAATTCTGGGATTCCAAATGTGTCCATTTCCTTTACACCTGTGATTTCCTGCTTTCTGGAGACTCTCAAATGGGTGCAGGCAGTGAGCCAAGGGCAGAGCAACTGGTGGTAAATTCACACATCCGAATGGGCACAAGTTTAAAAAAACAAAACAAAACACAACAACACAAAAGGATGAAATAAAAACACAAGTGAAAGCTGTGCTTGCTGCAGCAGCTGCAGAACGGCTCTTAAAATTTGAGGTTAGAAAGAAAAGCAACAGAGGCACTGGCCAACATAAAGAACTGTGGTTTCACTATAATAAAGCCCTCTATATGGTCTTAGCTTTTGAGACTGAGAGAATACGCGGGTATTTAAAGAACCTTAAAAACAAAAAGAAAAGAAAAAAAAGAAAGAAAGAAAGCACAACCACTACCTAAATTACCCTGGCTGCTTCATGCTCCTGGCAAGAAAGAAATAATACAGTAAAAGCTGAGAGAGGTGGCTCCAACAGCTTCTGTACTGATGGATTGAGAGGAAAGGGTGCCTGCAGCTTGCCTGGCTTACCTGGGCCGCAATACCACCAAGCCCAGCAAAGTCTCCCCCGCTGCTAGCATGCATGCCTGTGGTCCAGGTGATAGACTCGTAGTTGAAAATAGTGAAGGAGAGTTTGCCATCGGTGATGAGGACAATCTGGAAGGTGTTTACCTACAAGACAAACACTGAGGTGAAGGGAGGAGTTACAGGAGAGGAGGGAGCATGGCTAAGACAGAGAGAGCCAGGACAGGAGAGGAAACAGATCCCGTGAGTTTGGACTGTCCTGTTTCATTTGGAAAAACTAATTTGCACCAAGATGGTTATGATTGAGAGAGGACTCGTTTCTATTCACCCCAGCTGAGAGCAACTCTCCAGCACAGAATCACAGAGTAAAGCAAACTACATAGAAAGCTCGATTACCACAGATTAACTAGCACTTGTGATGAAAGGTAAGGGCACCTCTAGGTTCTCCAGGAGCTGTGGGTACTGTGCAACCCCTGAGAAACAAGCCACTTTTCTAGATGCCCAAATTTGGGTTTGGAAGCTTACAGCTTGGAATTAAAGCTTAAAAACACTAACCAAGGCTTAGTAGGCAATACGCAGAACTAAGAAATAAAAATGAACATAGGAAAGAATTAAAACGTCAGATTCTTAAAACCCAACATTTGTAAGAAGTGACTTGCAGGCCCTCAATACCTAGTGCGTGCACTCCCAGAGTCTTTCAGCAGGGCTTGGGTGAGACATAAAAACACCAGCTCACACACCTGTTAGGGTTGGGGACAGTGAGATTTATACCTCCATTTGGGCCACACAAAAGGTGATTTGGGGTAATCAGGTCTTAGAAACAGTATTCACATTGTATCTGCATCATTCTAGTCAGGTGGAACAGACCTGCCACTGAAGTGTGGAATTAGACATTATCAATTTGTCTGAGTGAAAACCAGGTGACTCCACTGAACAGAATTTAAAAAGTTGCTAATAGAGCACTTGGTAGTAGCCTGTCCTTTGGAAGTGAGGCCATGAAAGTTTACTTTCAACTAGGGGGAGGACAGAATTTGGCAGGAGATATATCATAGATATTTAAAATCTTTCATTGGCATGAAAAGCAAAATGTAAATTACACGTACAGTGCAAACACGTAGAAAGAGCCCAGATGCCTGGAACGCTCTGGTGCCAACCTTGCCAGTAACAGCCCTGTAGCCTGGCCACCTGTTATCAGATGGACTAAGTAATTTCTCTGGAGGTCAGAAAGGCAGGTAGAAAGATTTGGAGACTCCCCTCTTCCACCCTGCACCAAACACCAGCAACTCACTGGAGAAAAAGAACTTCCTCCAAAGAAGGTCACCCGGTACCACGTGGCAACAAAAACCCACTGAGCAGAGAATTCTGGGACTTCTGGGAAATACTGCCCAATGTCCTTGGTGGCTCTCTCCAAGAGGGCCTGGTCCTTGCTTTCTCGGTAATACACATCACCCGCTCTTCGGTTATCCACATCAGCCCAGAACGCTGCCACCACACGCCGATCCTTGGAGATTGGAAAAGCAACTGGTGTAAACTGAGAAACTTCTTTCAGGAAAGAGATGATTCCATTGTTGTTCACCTGTGAGAGAAGGAGAAAACAGATGAATGTGGCAGGAACATACAGAACGCAAGAGAGAGAAGATGGTCTCAGAAGTAGCACATCAGCATCACTGCCGGGAGACTGGGATTCAAATCCCTGCTTCTCCACAGAGTTTGGACAAGGCCCTTACCCTCCCTCTGCCTCATGCATGAAGGAAGAGGAGTCACAGCTGACCTCATGGAGGTTTGTGTGGATCCAACATTGGAATGGGTTCAGATACACACAGGTGAGGGCTGCACAAGCGCCAGAGATAGACCGATTCAGGACATATTTTCACTTTCCTCTGCTGCAGCTGAATGAATGACCCAAAGGTCCAGCAGGCCCTGCCCTGCCCCAGAACATGGGCTGAATTCTTATTTTAGAGGGGGTTTTATTACATAAATATTCGCGCATTTCCCTTTCCTGCCCTTTGAAGTACAAACATGACCCTTGCTCAGGTGCCGATGCTCTGCAGATGAAAAATGGGATGCTGAACAACCACCAGGGGCTGGCCTGCCACCCACACCCGCCTCCAACCTCCTCTGCCACCTCCCTGTTGTGAACACGGTACGGGCTGGAGAGCTGTAGCCTGGGGGTCTGGGAAGGCAGGCTGAACAAACCAGGCCCTGTTCTCTTGCCGGAGATGGGCCAGAGGAAGGAGGAACAGCTGAGAAAACTGTAGCAGCCACAGTGGTTTAAACAAACAGCGCCCAGTTCATTTGGGTCGCTCTCACCTCGCCTGGGCGGGGAGGCAGCAGGGCCAGCAGAACTCGCCTTCACTTCCTTGCTTTAAATAGGTGGGTGGGAGGAGGGGAAGGGGGGAAGGTTTGTCTTTCTCTCCCTGCCTACAGTTCAGTGCTGGGAGATGGGGATATGCAGCAAGTCTGAGCCTCATCCTGCTGGATCAGGGGAGAGGGAGCCTCAGACCCGAGTGAAGAACTTACCCACAAGCTTCTCCTGACATCTTGGAACGCTGCCCTGCTGCTCCAGGCCGCAGCCCTCTGGCCCCCCGGCTCTATGCACAGGACCCTCAATGTCTGCCTGCAGCACCTCTGGGCCTCAGGCCTCTCTGCTGCTCCACACCAGCCTGGATCTACAATACCACTCATATTCTGGTGCTGGGCCCAACAAGGAGTGCTGTCCCTACAGATGCTGCACCTGACCCACAGCTTTCCTCACTGGAGAGGTCTGCAGGGATTTGTCACACACTTCAGCCCCTCATTGCCTGGCCCACCGCAGTGGCAGGGCAAGGCCAAGCACTCACACTTTTGGCCCAATACATTTCCTGTCCTACTCGGCATTTCTGGAGCTGGCAGAGATCCATTTCCACAACCTCTCACCAGAAGCCACAGGACGACAGGTGGAGTCGTTCAAAGGGGCCTTACCTTTCTGATCTATGGCAGTGCTCACACAGATCCACTCCTTCACAACATGCTGCTGCTTCAGTGAGGAAGTGGAACAGCCACTATTGAACCCCAGCCAGCCAGCTGCTCTCATGCAGGGTACACTTTAAAGGCCCCACAGTCATGCAAGCATGGCCTCCATTTACTTTGGGGCAACTCCATTGGGGTGCAATGGAAGGTAGAACCAGTCCTGAAGCATCTTCTCTAGACAACATGCTGCAGCCTGGATATGCTGCAACATGGAAGATGCTTGTTACATTCAATGGGAAGTGTTGGCCACACAAATTCAAAGCCTCAAACATGTCCGAGGCACAGAGACCAGGGCAATATCTAGCGGGTGCTCAAATAAAACCAGCTATAAATCCTGCTTCTCAGTGCATTCATCTCAACCCATCACAGCCACATGTTCTTCCTGCCTTGATGGGACATCATACTGCATCCTAGCATCACAGTGCACTTGTCCTCTCATAGTGGACATTTTTTTATTTATAGGTGGTCAGTGACCAAACACTGACCCCTAGCAGAATGAAGCAAGCTATTCGTCGATGCCTATGATTTTGTCTTAGGTGGGTACAGCAGACAGCAAGGACAGTCCAGCCTGGAGCCAAAGGAGGAGAGCCATGCCCAAGTTGCAGCTAGAAGTCATGCTACTGGAAGTTTATTCCTTCCTCCCCAGTCTTAACCCTGGGGAAAGCCACCCGCATGATCAAAGGCCAAGAGAGCAAGCCTTACAAGGAGAGACTGAGGGACATGGGACTCTTCAGCTTGGAGAAGAAAAGGCTCAGCGGGGACTTGGTGGCAGCCTATAAGTACATGGGGTGGGGAGGTATATCAGGATCTGGGAGAACAGTTGTTCACCAGGGTACCCCAAGGGATAACAAGGTCTAACAGCCACAAACTCCTGGAAGGCTGATTTAGACTGGACATAAGGAAAAACTTCTTTACGGTCCGAGTGTCCAGGGTCTGGAACAGACTACCCACAGAGGTGGTGCAAGCACCTACTATGGACTCATTCAAATGGCATTTGGATGCTTATCTTGCGGAGGTCATTTGACCCCAGCAGACTTCCTGCCTGTGGCAGGGGGGCTGGACTTGATGATCTTGTGAGGACCCTTTCAGCCCCTAATGTTTATGAATCTATGAACCTTGTGGGTCTGGAGCGGGAAAGGGACTGCTGAATGTCTGGTCTCACTGCTACATCACCCCTTCATGCCATGCAGGACTCAGGGGACATCTTTGGCTGTATTGCTTATCTTTATTCCACAGGCTCAGGAGAGTTCCTGGGAGCAGTCACCAGGCCCCATGGTCTCCACAACCTTTCCTCAATGTGACCTCCTTCATAACCATGTCATTGGATGACCTGGGGGGAATTACAGTTCACTGCTACAGATCCCTCCCTCTCAGATGAGGAGCAAGCAGCCAGGAGACCGTGGACTTGCACTGGCACAGGATCTGACCCCAAATAGACCAAAATAAGGAGAACAGAGTTTGCAGACACCATCACTGCTGTCAGTGCTGTCATTGCCTCTCCTCTTTCATGACACTAAGCCAACAGTCAGCAACGTTTTCTAGTGGTTAGTGGGTGCGACCTGGTTTGAGTTTCAAGCTCCCCAGGCCAGATCCGGCATGCCATGGAGTTGTAGGTTACCAGCCCCAGCAACATCCTCCTTGGCATTTTGTTGTTTGGAACTGCCACCCTCACACCAAAATCTCTGTCCAACTGAGAACCCCAAGCAAAACAAAACCAACCCCTTGTTCTCAGCCCTAAAAAGAGAAACTCCTGGTTCAAACCATGAAAAAGAGTTCCCGAGCCATCTGCTGTCCCAGGGACTTAGAAGAAGCCTTGCACTTCACTCTCAGGATCCTAAGAAAAAGAACACCACAGAAAATGCTGCTCCTCTCCCAGCTTGCTACAAGCCACATGGACCACACATGCCGGTGTTGCAAAAGGGAGGACCAGGAAGACTAGTCTTCCAAGTTTAACATAAACACTCTCTTGGGAGTACTTGAGGGACAAGGGAGGTAGCCTCACTGGGCAAATCAGCTTTCATCATGTTGTGCTTTGGCTGGAGCAGTCCAAGTACTCAGCCAGGATCACTGAAGAGGAAATGGGCTCAGAGAGAATGCAGGCATTCCTCTATCAGGAAGTGCTTGGGAGAATTCCTGCTGCAGCACATTCAGATCTCACCTGAACTAAGCAAGACGGAACAGAATGACCCACCAGTGTCCCTTCTGTGCCCCACTTCCCACGGCTACAACCTGAAATGAGAGTGAAGTAGCGAGCACAATCCCTAGACAAGCTCCATTCAAGCTTCTTGTGCCACTTCAGCAGCCCTTCTGGGAATCAGCCTGCCCACTACTTGCCTCTCCTTCCACATGTGCAGAGCAGCAAGGAAGTGTTGACAGGATGGGGCACCTTGTGTGGCTCATGGTCAGTTGATGATGACCCCTAGAGTTGTCCCTTGAGAGGTATACCCCAAGAACCTTTGCTGGAAGTGACAGGCTGGGGTTAATTCCACCCCCACAACTGGGTCCTGAGAAGCCACCCCCTTCCTTCTTTCCTTCTGCTGAGCTGTGGAATTTCACCCAGGGGCTTCTAAGAGTTGCCTTAGGGCTTCTCCCAGCTTATCACCCCAGGGCCAGAGTCCTTCATGCCTCATGAGGAGTCTAGAAGTCATTGTGAGATGCAGGACCACACTGACTGTGGCAAGCATCAATATGCCTGTTCCCCCAAGGCAACCTTTCTCTTGAGCTCCCCGCAAAAAGAACTGTGATGAAACCAGCTGGACAGCATGGCATATGTTGAAACCTGGGCTACAGGGCAGCACTAAGAAGTGGTTGGTCTCCTAAGGCATGAAGCAGTGTGTTACAGTAGTGCAGCTGAGACCTTACTAGTGAATGTTTCTGGGCTAGGGACAGATATTCATAGATTCGTAGATGCTAGGGTTGGAAGAGAACCCAACAGATCATCGAGTCCAACCCCCTGTCTAGGCAGGAAAGAGTGCTGGGGTCAGATGACCCCAGCCAAATGCCTATCCAGCCTTCTCTTAAAGACCCCCAAGGTAGGGGAGAGCACCATCTCCCTTGGAAACCCATTCCAAATTTTGGCCACCCTTACCGTGAGCAAGTTTTTCCTGATATCTAGCCTAAATCTGCTCTCTGTCAGTTTGTGACCATTGTTCCTTGTTACCTCAAGAGGCGCCCTGGTGAACAGTTCATCTCTGAACCCTTCCTACGTCCCCCAAATGAATTTGTAGGCGGCCACTAGATCACCTTTCAGTCTTCTCTTGCAGAGGCTGAAGAGGTCCAGGTCCCTTAGCCTCTCCTCATAGGGCTTGATCTGTAAGCCCCTAACCATATGAGTGGCCCTCCTCTGGACCCGTTCGAGTCTATCAACATCCTTCTTGAAGTACGGTGCCCAAAACTGAACACAGTACTCCAACTGCGGTCTGATCAATGCCGCATAGAGGGGAAGTATCAGCTCCATGGATCTATTTGTCATCCATCTGTTGATACGTGATAAAGTATGATTAGCTTTGCTGATGATTTCATCATGCTGATGACTTGTGTTCATCTCAGAGTCCACTATGACTCCGA